AATACCGCTTCATCTATTAAATTAATTATATAATCGTTACTCAGTTGACCTGATTATTCTTACATCACCGAAAGTAAAATCACAAGCAGTGCTATAATTAGAGTTTAAACGCGTGTTGGCTGGTTTGTTCTGTCTCATTCTAGTACTCCATAAATGTATGACCAGTCTATAGACCGACAAAGTTACCCTATCCGTTTTCAGTAACATGCATCTTATCGATTGCGTGGCTTATACGACACTATTAGAAAAAAAACATTGTAAATGCGTTCAGTAACCTGTTCGCAACAAAAGAAAGTAGAAAATTCTAAGGATTTCAAGCACGTCTCGATCGATACTGCGACTTTTTGTATTCTTTGTCAACTTTCCGACTCGAATACATTAACATCTGAAACCAGTTCACTGTCTATTAATTTTAAACTTAAAGAACAATACTTCTGACTAGTTTTAATCATTAATAATATTGGCCATTTCTTTACATCATTATATCTCTTAATTATTTTCTAATTCTTCCTTCAGTTTCGATTGAGGAAAGGTGAATGTAAAGGAATGATTGTGAATTTTCAATTCACTAGTTCTTTGATTTTTCACTTTAATAAATGTAAATCTGTATTACTTATAGAATAACATGTTACATTTTTCTTTTTCTCCTCGTTATAAATTTTTAACCAATTCTAAGTGTTACAGACTTGTTATCGCAAAGAATATTTAATTATTTCTGATGTGACAAATATGCTTTTAAGACTTAACTTGTTAAGATTTATATGGTCCACAGAATATATTAATACACTCTTATATACATTACAATATCAATTACATTTATTATAATTATGGAGACAATTTTTAAGAAGTGAATAAATTTGAACTAATTTAATAAATCTGTAATACAAACAGTTATTGAAACTCATTGAAAGGAACTGAGTGAACATTATTATTTATTGTTTATATTGTTACAAAGTAATAGTCTCCTGATTTAGTCATAAACGTAGTGGAGTGTAGTGTTTCATTTCCATAGAAATCAAGACTCGTTAAGTACATACAGGAGTTTCTCTACTAAAAGGACAGTCATCTGTTAACTGCAAGGTGATTAAACATAGGCGACAGTGCCTATAACGGTACTTCAAGTCTGACATTTGAACTTTGAAACTTTTTCACAGATACATGGCTGAAGGACAAATAATTATCACCAGTAATAAATACGTTACTATGATACAAAGCCAGATATACACACGTACTTGAACCTATTTTTTAAATTGGTGTAAATGCGATTTTGAAAATATGTGTCAATTTAGCTACAGATTTATGTGTTTCTTTTAAATATTTATAATAACGCAATCAATACAGTACAATATTCTCATAAATTAGTCCAAAGAAGTTTAGCTATTAAATAGATTTGCGTAAACTTTCTCTTAAAAGTAGTATAAGTCAATTTGCAGTTAACAAAAACACTGTTTTACTTGGAAAATATTTATAACAATGTTTAAGGTAAAATGCAAAACATTGAGTATCTAGAAATAAAGAAAAGTGGACTTACGTCGCTTTAAAAAAAACAGCGCATTTCTTCCTGTTGTTGTAATTATGAATATAATAAAATCTGAACCACTGTTTTTTTATAATACGTCAACTTTCCAATTGATTATAGTTAAGAATTTTTAACTAACCTGGAAGGTAATTTTTATTATTTGCTGGTCTGAATAAAATTACATCCTTCATTTATTCCGTGAAAAGAAGTAATAATTTACTAAGTTCGTTACATCCTGTTTATGACTTATTTCAATAACATGAGAAACTAGGAGTAATAATTCAAAAGGTTTCATGAAAATGGAAACAGTATGATAACGATGACAGAAAGTGTAGAAAGTAACTAGTAGTCTTGGGTAATACTAGAAATTTGTTTTCATCACGCTGTAAAAGTGTAACAGGGCTAACGAGATTATAATTATAGGTCTCTAAAGAATAAAGAATCCCACTTTTGTATTTTATTACGTCAGATTCAGGCTCCACGATTCTTTTATCCTTTCCTTTCTTAATTCCTCTTAATTTATTTTAAAATCTAATACAAACAGTTGCCTGTTATATCCTTTGATTGTGCACCAGTTCCATTGAAAACGTATTTCTTTCGCTGCAATTATACAAATTAATTCCGCGAATGTATGTAAGTGTAACGGTAGTTGCAGAACTCGTTCAGTCAGTGGTCCTGTATCACCTAAAGCAAATTCTTCGCTGGAAATTAAGTGGAATAGTTTTCACCGACCACTTGATACGCCGGAAATGGCGGAGACACAAATAAATGTCATTTCTAGCGTTCGTAATGAGTGTCACTGTATTCGCCAAATTGTTTCGTTTGTACGTGTGAAATTTTCGTTGCGTGTCCTTATTATCTGTATCTATACGTTTACATAATAATTTCACCTCAAACGTGTGCTGCAGAACAGTTTCGCGTGTTGCATTTAATTTTTCGTTGTTTTACGTTTGCATTATTATTCGTTGCACACGAGCAAAGGAATTAACAGTTTTAAATTAAGTATTACTAAATTGCGCTCACTGAATGCGAAATGTGGCGTGCATTGTTGCAGTTAAGCGGTCGAAACGATGGAGAAATTGTGTACCGTAACTGTTTGATAATGTTACTATGCTGTATTCGTTAAGATTTGGAAACTCCATCATTCATGTGACGGCCACTTATTTTCTCGAATTCATTATTCTGTATTCATATAACATTTTCAATAATTCAAGCAAATCATTTCGAGCAAATAATTTCAAGTTTTACCTCTTTGATGCTTTCTGTTTTTTATTTAGAAATTTGTGAACTAATTTGGCATCAAAAGCTTATATATACCTATTATATTCTAACGATAGGTAAATATTTTTCCTTAATTTGAGTTTAACCCCTTAACCTACAACTACGGGCATAGCCCGTAGTAGATGATCGGACCAAACGTAAATATTACGGGCATAGCCCGTAGTAGATGATCGGGCCAAAAGTGAATATTACGGGCATAGCCCGTAATACGATAATCGGGCCAAACATAAATATTAGCGGCGGCGCCCTCCTAAAGTTATAAATATTTGTGGAATATGTGATAAGTAAATCGTAGGTTAAGGGGTTAATTCAAGCCCGCCTTAATTCAAGCAATAGTAATGCAATAGTTTATTGAACTATGATTTAGGGTTAAAGAACTTTTAAAGGTTTTCCTTCTACTAAGCTTTTGTCATATCGAAAGTACGATATATTTATAAGGTAAGTTAACTAGCGATTTGATTAATTATGCAGAAATGTTCAGATCGTTCCCTTATGTACTCATTTAGGTACAGTACCTACAGAACTTACAGAATAGTAAAAATCCTCAAAAATATCGAAATGATACATATTACATATTACATGTGCAAACTGCCATTCTACAAACTTTCAACCTCTAATTTGTTACTTGGGCTACAATTATCAACAATTTCTCTTAAATTCCCTTTGCGTAATTTGAATATTGTATTTTTAAAGTAGTTCAATGCGGAAAAAGTGGTAGATTCTACACAATATCGCAATAAAAATATAAATTATGTTTTATCTAAAAGTTGAAAGTGGATAGAAATTATTGGATAGTATTTTAATATAATTTCGCTGGATCGAATGAAATTCGTACCGTATAAAGTGATACGCGCTCTAATGAGACACATAAGGTGACCCAGCGAATAAAGCATACAGTGAAAGGTTTAATACAGACAATAAAAATTCATCAGTTCTAGATCGGTAGTTCAATCGAGAACTTACGAGTGATTTTCAATAGTCACGAGAAACTGGAACAACCTGCCAGGTGACGTGTTCTATATACGAGTTACTGCAACAAGGTAATATAAGAGGACCCGGAGACAAATTAGATCCATTCTAACAAACAAAACCTAACGTCTGAGCTATTCATCATCCTCTGTCACCTACTGCCGTAATCCTTACAAAATAATTCACCGTCATAATCGTTTACGTAATAACCTGGCAACTTCATTAAATCAAGACAAATCCGAAAAAAGAACTATAAATATGTTTCATAATTCTTTAAACGTTTCGCTTTGCTTATCAGTAGACTGTGGATTTTATGCACCTATATTATAGAGGATTCTCTAGAATTCAGTAAACTTATCTCTCAGAAACCACATTCTACCACAATATACATAATCACCACACTAATGCGAATTGAGATTTTGAATTTTTGATGAAAAATTTATATAACTTCAAGAAAAAAACAAGAAAATTGAACTCTTAACATATTCTTTAGGGTACACTTTCCCCGGAAATATAATGGTAATACCAAATTACAAAAGTAACAAATACATTTTTAACTAGAAAAATTCGACACCGTTATGCTAGCCAAATAGAATATTACATATGAAACAATGTTTCACTTGTATAAATTCACACTAGTGTGATGTCTGAGGGTTTAGAGTAAGGAAGTTTGAAAAGGTTTTTATTCTATTTCGAACCTGGTGGAATAATAAGCAAAATAAACAAATCTCTCGTTGACTCCAGTTCTTCAAAATTATCCCCTAAAAATCTATATCTGCATAACCATCCGCAGTCCACATATCAAAGTCTAAAATCAATGAAGAAGCCAAAGCTACTATCAAAATCTTCTCCCATGATCGACACTCGAACCACGTAGAAAGACGAGTCACATTTAGCCTACATAAACGTACGCTGGCATCAAAAGTCGTTCATGGATCCAGAGCGGTCGCAATCGATTTTCCAGATTCCCGAGAAACCGGGGCAGCCCCTGGTAGGGGAATATTTAGGGGATATAAGGTGCTGTAACGAGACAAGGCGGCCGTATATACAGTGGTCGAATAGATAGTGAAAGTCCTCGAGAGCTAACAGGAGTGTCGAGGGCAAGAGGGGGGCAAGGAACGGGGGAGCCCAGTAAGGTATATGAGGGCCTCAGTTCGAGCAACCGCTGGTACTCTAGCCTCGCTGCCTACTTACATTCACACACACTAACACAACCACCACCTGGAACACAATGCACACCGTCTCGACGGTACGTATTTCTCAGTGCGCAATCATCGGTCGTTCTGTCGCCCTTAAATTTTTCGACCAATCCCCTACACAACCGATGATCGATCGACATGATCTCTGGAACGTGGTTCTCGCGTGTGATGTGATCGTTTCTCTCGTCGATGACGGAACTTGTGCTTGTGATTTGTGCATTGTCTGGTGCACCGCGATTGGGATCTCGTGAACCTCCTCGAACTAGTCCGCCAGCCGTGAGCGATCACGGAACGGATTCGGTCAGCAGTAATTCGGCGGAACCTCGATCTGTAATTCTAGATTCGGTTCGTGACACGAGTTTAAGGTTGCAACGTCACTTCTGGTCAACCTACACTCGTATAAGTATTAGGACATTTGTCGAATGTGTAAATGTTCAAGTCATTACGCAATTGCTAAAAATCTCATATAAATATTGTTTAGGGGATATTAAAGCTTGATGGGGACAACGTTTATGCAACTACAGATTCATGAAAGTGATCTAAAATATAGAATTTGTACGATTCACCACATTTTCTTCATAGAGACAAGGTGTCCTAATAATTATGAGCGCTGGTGTATCTCTCGTAGCACGGGTCATGATCATCGATGCATCGAGAAATCTACAGGCGCGTTCTTGAGGTTTGCGAGAGAGATCGTTATCGGCCCGTGAAAAGATCCTAACAGAATTACGATTACGGTTGTGCAAGTAATCACGAGCGACGTGTGAAGAGGCTGTTACTTAACCCTCCGCGATTCGCGAAGCAGCCTATTTTCCTACCGTTTCGTTCGACTGTTGCCGAAAAAAAAAAAAAGAAAAAGAATTATGAAAGCAGTCGGCCGCAGCGCGGCCAGCCGACTTGTTTTCACCGCCGCCTACTCGAAGAAAGAAAATTATATAATGAGTTACGCCGAGCCAGGAACACATTCGAGAATTATGTCGGTCAGAATGCGTAGCGGTAGAAATCGTTTTCTCGCTCGTGGCCGTTCGGGCGGAACAGCAGGAAATGCGTCGCGTGGATGGAACCGATAAAACCAGTCGAACTTTCGGTAATAATTTATACGGTGGAGATGGATTTTAGAGGGGCTCGAGGTCTGGTCGCTTACGGTGACGTACAGGGTGAAGCATCTAACTTGACAATTTCAATGTACGAAAAAATGTTAGGGACAAAAGTTGCATGGTATCAAGAGGTACATACGTTAGAGTAATTATGTTTTCCGACAGTGTGTACAGATAGAGTTTTGAAAGGCAACTTGATTTTTTTTAATAGGATAACCTATATTTGTTCATGGAAATTGAATGAGCATCAGAAACTGAGTAAATATGTGTAAAGTGGGTATTTGTCGAGATATTTGCAATGAAACTTTTATTGTAAAAGGTGTTTTATTGAACTTCATTGAACCATCGACGACTCTGAGAAAAAACATGTAAGAACCTTACCACTAGTATACATACAGACATTTTTAGAAGTACATTAGAAAACGGGCATGTATCTGTCATTTGTCAAACTATTAGATGTCTGTATCAGCAATAACGGTCAACAATTCAAACACCTATTATAATAAGAATTTTATTGTAAATACTTATAGACATATTGTAATTTAAAGACACATTTACTCAGTTTTCTATGTCTATTTAATCTTCGTAAAAAAATATAGGGTGTTCCATTTGAAAGCATCCAGGTGACCCTTAAAACTTTATGCTAAAACATTGTAGAAGAAACATAATTATTCCAACATATGTCGTCATTGATACCATGCAACTTTCGTTTGAAACATTTTTTCGTGCGACAAGTAATTTGAAATCGTCTGATTAGGTGCCGCAACCTGTGTAGGTGGCAACGTCGTCCAAAGACATTTTACCCGGTAATTGCGAGTCACGATCAAGAATCCGGTATCCTTCGAGTGCGGTTATCTCCCTTCCCGACGCGGTGTAATAAAGTCACGTCTGGCGGTTAAGGCTCTGGTAACGCGGTAGGGTCATGCACCACCGCACTCCGACACCTTTCCGCGGGCAATTACGGTTCATGAAGGCCCAAGATAAGGATTTTATGCGATAGCGGCCGCGTGACGATGAAATTTACAACGTTTTTAGCGACGGTCCGCGAGCCGTGGTTCGACCTCGAAGCCATAAATCGCCGATAAATACGGATCGCATGGGAGATACCGGTAAAAGTTTCGAAATTCGTTACGATAATTCTACACGCGAATTTAATTGCATTGTTGGAACTTTTTTCCCCGTGACTTTTAATCGAGGGTCTTAAGAGAAAAACCAACGGAAACAGAGGTGACTGGGGTGATTGCACTCATGATTTCTAATCCGACGATTTAACTTGTACCATTGTTCACTGGAGACCACGGAGAACGATGACGCTGGTTGGGAAATTGACAATTTTTCGTTCTTGGAGTATGGATGATCAAATTATTAGTCATCTGGATATATGAACGATTTCACGATTTTAAATATATTTTGTATGATTACATAAGCTACTGGTTTTTACAGAAATTGTTAATTGCAATGTATAGAACGTAAAAACCCTGATATTGTGATTTTATTTCAACACAAACATAAAGGAACACATTTTTCCTACTGTGGCTCTAACAATTTGATCACCCACTGTATACTCATTCCCAAATATTCTATGAATGTTTAAACAATAATATATCGTTTGTTATCGTTTTAGATCGTCACATGTTCATTAATTAATGCCCAACTTTAACACTTCTTTTATCACTTGTTGCAGGTAATATTACTGGTGGCTGCCATACTAGCAGTATCGGCTCAGCAATACCAACAATCAGGTGGTAACTATGTCGATGACTACTCCGCCTACGAAACCGCGAGACCGGCTCATCCGACCCCCCGAAGTTACGCGACGGACGCGGTGCCGAATCGACAAGCAGCCGCGCCTACGACCCCTAAACCGACTCCAGTAGCGATCTTGAAACAGATAAACAGGCACAACGAGGACGGCTCGTACACGTACGGTTTCGAAGGCGCAGACGGTTCCTTCAAGATCGAGACGAAACTGCCAACCGGTGACGTGAAGGGTAAATACGGCTTCGTGGACGACACTGGCAAAGTACGCGTGGTTGAGTACGGAGCGAACCAATTGGGCTTCCAACCAGCCGGAGAGGGTATCACCGTGGCACCACCGACACTGGAGGACGAGACTACCAGTAGGGAAGCTCTGGAGGCCCAAGCCTATCAGGCAGCGAATCAGCAAGCAGCCAGGCCAGTTGCGCCCCTCCGAGCTGCTGCGCCTGCGCCCCGTCCAGCATCCCTTCAGCAGCAACAACAGCTTCAATACGACCAGTCTGCCTACCAACCCCAGAGTCACACTCAGGCAGTCTACTCTGCGCCATCGGCCAGACAACAGGCTTTCCCCAAGCCCCAAATCTTCACGCCAGCCGCTCAACCCCAACCCCAACTCTCAAGACAGACACCAATCCTTCAGCAAAACGAGGAACAAGCGCCTCCCTCCCAGCTGTACAACCAAGGACCAGCTCAGTTTGGTCCCGCGCCAGCCCAAGAACACCGGTCCCAGCCTCAGCCTCGCAGCCAAAGCGGTGGTCTTCTTGATCAGCTAGCTAGAGACTACGCTCTGCCCCAAGGCGTCGCGCCACCATTACACGATATCAGTTTTGGTTATTACTAAGCCTTTCTAGTCCCTACGGTGCCCGTCAGGGAGGTCCTCGTTCGTTTTTGGTATTTTTACAATGTCTCTGAAGACGCGATGCTTCGACGGCGTAACGTTCCCCCGCGTGGATCGTTCCGTGGGTTATTGGTCACGGGTAGAGGGCACCATGATCCCTGGATCACGTTACGATTATTATCTGGGAGACGTGCCAAGGGCAGATCGTCCGGAGAATCAGAATGATTTGATGATGTACGGCTGATGTTTCGCGTACATGCGTTCTGTAATATTCTTATCATGTCGTGGTCTATTGATTTATCTACCTATTGTTTCTTTGTATAGCGGACGGTCGAGCTGAAGGTTCTTAGTTCTTGTTTCGATAGTAAGAAAGTGTTATCGTGGCTGTCTACCGAGGCGTAATTTTGCTTCCATGTGGAGCTTCTTTATTCTGGCCATTGGAACCAAATGTTGGGGGAATATTTGATCAGAAATTGCTCTGTCCCGGGGGTATTCATGGAGGGGAAATGAGAAGTACTTGGCATAAGTAAATTTGATTCTGTTGATATTGTTCCGTTTATTTGAAGATCTTGTTGACTGCATAAAACAGCCTTGAATATATTTTTATTAACTAGAAATGGTTTAATAATTTATTAATCTGTATAGTTTGCAAGATTTCTCATTCATAATTATACATGTATAATTCTAGGAGATAAAAAAATGTGTGTTGAGACAGGTATGTGGAGAAATCGTTTGTACCATGCCGAGAAGGATTGTAAAAATATTGTAAATAAAATTTCACGAACCACGGTGGACGTACGTGCTGGCTTTAATCCTGGAGAACGCAGTTTTGCACACGTCGTTGCAGTGTTACCGTTACAATATCATTGTCTCAAGGAGAACCTCGTTTTATCAAGCTGCGTCTTCGAGTTTGTGTCTTGCGGGACTGCATAATAAATTCAGCACGCTTACTATTATAATTAGATTATTGTAAGGTAATTAGATTGGAATAAACCTCTAAATCCAACACAACACATCATTGTAATCCTATTGTCGAGTTATTTGTAATCCGATGAAAGTTATGAACGTTTTCATCATTACATATCACCAGACAAAATGTTTCTTTCTAATTTTGTTAATAAAAGTGAAATAAATATTAATGAATAAGTGAAATTGATAACGTAAATTGACAAACGGCTTCTATCAAACTTTCTAACTGTTCCTGTTTTTGAACTGGTTATGCTTACGTAAGTGTTCTCAACGAACGACCTTTCGAATTATTTCTTTTACGCTTAAAATAACAGAAGGTAACGAGACCGGACTTAATTGTATCAAGTTGTTCCGGAACTGCGCTGTCTGGAATTTTAGTTACGAAATTTCCACGACGACCTTCATGATCGTTCGACAGAAAGGATACATTGAGTACGCAAATGTATATTACAATGGTACCATATAATTACAACAGTATTGTAAAAATAGGACCTAACCTAGAAATTCTATTTCTACGGTTACAGTTACATACGTACTTTGGCAACCATGTGTAACTTCGAGAATTACGACAATGCAAAGGATGTATTTCAGAACTGTCTAGAATGTTCTACAGGAAATTAAATTTTTTCACTCTTTAAATGGTAGAAGAATGGTGTATTGTCCGAAAATGGTATTTCAGGATCAGAGTCATAACTTTGGTCTGACTGTGAAAATATTATATGAGGAAAGGATTCGGAAAATGTCGCGGGTCACGTTCTACCTACGAAAGTTCATAAATGTATTTGTTATATATGTACTGATTCTTTTATTCCAAATTAAAGTTCTACCTATTCTTCTTGTACCTCTTTCTTCTAAGGAGTTAAATTGCTAGGTGTTTGAAACAAGAAACAAATTAATACTTTCATTTGGAAATACATATACCCTTTCAGGGTGAGTATCTTTAATAAGAAATTACAAATCAGTCATTTGCACTAGTTTGGTAGTTTTAGTGTTCAGTTCAAGAAAAATGTTATCTACTTTGAAAAAGTGTAATGTGTGTATAATCTTCAACATGCTGCAAAAATGTGTATTCTAAACATTCTAAGATATATTCCAGACACCAAATCTAATAGTTACTAATAATAACTTAAAAACTATTAAATAATTCAAGATATTCCTCACGATGAAGTACTTTACTTTCTTGTATACACCTGACGTAAGAAAAGATAATTAAGAGAGTTTTTCACTATTCGAAAATTAATCTTATTCGAAAAATTTGTTTTTCATTCATTTAATTATAGATGTTTAATTAGTATAGGTCGAATCGGTAGCCTTTAACGACGGCAACCACGATTGCACCTGTGTAAAATAGAAAGTGCAAGTAGGAAATGCAGAGAGCAACGACTGTAAACAGGTATGTTACCAACTAAAGGCAAATACGTAAATCTGATAAATAGAAATATTCGTGTTTTATCAATAAGAAATTCGAATGTTTATTTATTACCACAGATTATTTTACGTAAATACAAAAATTTTTCCAGGTTTACCTATTTATCTGACAACCTTTAACAGGATTTCAAGTTACAAGTAATCTAGGTATACGTGTAGACTGCTAATAACATATCAAGGTATATAATTATTGCATACCGTAATGGACGCGAAGTGTGTTACGTATCACTGTGATAAGTCGCATACTGTTATGAGATACACGTATTTCAGAAGAAACCTGTTGAACAATAGAATATTCGAACGTGCCATCCAGTATCGCATTCCTCAATCTTTCCAAAAACAGGGAAAAAAATAAAGAAAAACTGTATTCACTCTTAGATTACACGGTGTAAATTAGACATGTAATGAATGAGACCTCCCAGGATAGATTCAATACTAAAAATCTGAAAAAATTCGTATAAATACAGGATGCAGGATTTTATAAATTAGTCTAGAAAAATGTGATTTTCCATAATCTTAGATAGTCTAATCATAATTAGCGTTGTATGTAAAACCAATATAGAATGCAAATCTTATTCTATTACAGCTAATGTGTGTGAACGGTAATGGAAGTAGATATATCCAACAATGAACAGACACACGAGTTTGTAGAAACATTTTCTTAGAAGAATTGTATTGATGAAGAATAATGTCAAAACATAATGATTTAAACTACATTTAGCTATGGATTTGTATATTTCTTTAATTCACTTTTAACCTTCCTGTAGTCAATATACTGCAATCATTTAATTAGTGCTTGTATGCCAAGGCAGATTTTACATTATAATGAAGAAGATAAGTTTGTGTTAATAAATGAGCATAAATCTAAAATTGTTTATACTGATCAATAGTTTGCCTACCAGTAGTACGTACGTGGCAAAATTTGTTCCATTGACCTACAGCTTTTGCGTCAGTAAACAACTTAATTGCATCTTAGAAGATTCAATTTGCATTTAAATTTCTATCATATCAAATGTGCTTTTTTGAATATATAATATTTATAATAATTTCTTTCATATTCTCTACCCAAAGTAGTTACACTGTATATTGTTGATTTTTAACAAAAATCAGCAAACACTTTGTCCGAATTAGTAACTGCAAATGTAAAAATATTATAATGTAAGAATTAATAATAAAATTATATAACAATAGTATCCGTGTAACACAATATCTTGGCTACCGTTTATTCAGGTTGTCCCTTACACTGTCTATATGTATAACTGTGCACATTCAACTGTCTTTAGATGCACGCAACAACATATACCTTGTGTAAAAAAATCACCATAAAAATTACATAATCCAGTTTAAACAAAAGGGAAGATTCATTGTTTGCTTCTCTTTTAAGTATGATGCTCAGATTATTTTCGAAATACTACAATACTACACTACCTACATAAAATGGCGAAACTCGCGTGAATGAAAGAATAGAGTTTACGACCACTTTCTCACATGACGAACAAACTCAAAAGCGAAGTTCCATTTTATCTTTCGGATCTCTGCCCCCGAAATTCGTATTATTCCCACGCGCGTCCTTTTGTTGCATCTTAACTGTTTTACACCGCATCGACATTTCCTTTGATTTCGTCACATCGACCCTTATCTGGACACTTGCAGTAATATACATACGTGATAATGAAGGTAGATTTACTTAAGGAAATGGTAGTCCATTCAGAAAACTTCGAAGAAAATTATGACTCCATTGTGTTTTTGGAGATCATTTGTACTTTTTTTATAAGTCAAGTACATATTACATATTGTCTGATGAAATCTGAAATGTTGTTTGGAAGTGTCTCAGAGGTCTATTAATTCGTGTCTAATACTGAAAGACATGAAACAGTAATAGTTATCAATGTGAAGAAATCGTCGCCTTAACATTATTATTATCTGTATTGAATGAAAATTACCGTCATTGTTGTGTGTATAATATTCCTTTGAAAAATATTGTACCCGATGTGGTAAATATAATTATTTTATACGTGCAAATGCATGTAACTATCCGCCATTAAATGTTAAACCTTATAACACCAAGAATATTATAACATGATTGCCAGTCATCTCGAAACAAATTTTATGGACTTTAACGTGCTACGGAAAGACGCTACATAATTTTCATAAGATAGTCGTTTATTAGTGAAAACGTTTATAAATGTTGCGTAAAGACAAGTACCAAAACCAAGAAAAATAAATCAATTCATATGATACTGTTTTAACTATTGATTTTTTAACTTTCTCATATGTGAAATATATCCACAACATGTTAATTCCCATAGATTTTTCAACGTGATTTTCCTGAAAATACAAACCAGAATAAATATTTATGTTGTTATTACATTATTTTTAGTTTGAAATATAATTCACTTTTTATATACTTGTTTCGTGTGTTAATAAAGAAAACAATGGCCAATATGTAGATCTGGTTTAAGATCAAATGTGTCACAATAACATGTTGCTCTACGCCTTTTATTAATATTACAACAAACAAGACAATCTTCGATATTTTTGTTATATACAATTCGAAGTACACGATCTGCGATAGCTTGAAGCGAAATAAGCATAATAATTCCAAA